AAAAAACCCAAAAAAAACCACACCTCTGGATATTCAAGTTAATGAACTTAATCTCTTAAAGTCTCTTAAATTCGTCTCACCCTCTGGCCTTTTTTTTTTTTTTTTAATGGTCTGATGTGCTTTCTTAGAATTAATCCTGTCATGGGCATGGGTATCTTCCCTAGGGACCTAGCACAATGGGTCACATCTAAATGAAGCCCCCCTTGAGTGCTGACAATGAAAACTTAAAGAAAAAAAAATACAAACACTAATTTAACTCTCTCAGAAGGAGGAAGAGTCAGCTTAAGTCTTCAAAATTAATTTAGCAATCTAAAATTAAATACTGAGTGTACGATAAAGCTTTTCTAATGAGCTGCTAGGTTTATCTAGTGACCACAACTTCCAGAGACCAGAATAGTTAATGCAGTGGCAAAGCAATTCAGAAAACCAAGATATAACTGGAAACAGCAGTGCTCCTAGTAGCTGTCACACCTCATAATTTAATTTTTTTAAGTTTACCAAAGCTCCATTGCTATTTCTTAAATCAACTATTTCTACAGGCCTCTTGGAAGAAATGTTGAGAACTCAGAACTTTGTGTAAGCGAGTCACAATAGAATTATGAAAGAAAGGAGATAGCAAGACTGACATCAAATTTGGAGCTTTTAGTGATGTTATCTCACAACCATGAAAAATGTCTGTGCACAAAACCCATAATCACCTGGTAAGCTACTTCATATAAACAGCCATCCTTCCCAGCCAAAAAGATACGCCCGTTATCAGTGGATGATACTGCCAGCATGGAAACATTATCCGTAGGGAGCGAATAGAGAGGGTCTGGTAGCAGCTGCATTCCACCAGACATACTGTCATTGAGGGATCCAGAACCTTCAGTGAAGCAAGACAGGAAAAAACAAAAACCAACAACTGCATTTTTCTCTCCTACATGTATACATACACACAAACCATATATATATACACATATGTATGTATACACACACACACACACACGCTGCAAATACATTTGCTGCTATACATAAGGTTGGTAAAAATTAGCAACAGATTCTTGGTTTCTGCAGTTGGAATACAAATGCCAACCAGCTTTATGAACTCCATTCAGCATTTGCTACTAAAGTTAATGACCATCTTTTCCTTGCCTCTCTGATATGCTGTTCTAACTGACAGGACTATCTGCTTCTAAAGTTTGTTTTATGTTAAACAGGCAAATGGTACAGTAGTTTAATGCTCCTCTGAGAGCTTCAGCATCAGTAGTTTTGCGCCCCATAAAAAGGGAATTCATTTACCCTGGCTGTAAAAAGATTTATAATTTAGCAAGGGATGGTCTTGCTTTTAAGGTTAGTAGATTTTTATTTTAAGTAGATTTTAAGTAGATTTTTATTTGCTAATGCTCTACAAAGAATACCAACCTTTAACTTAATTAAAAGGGTAAGAAAAAAAAATGGAGAGAGAGAGAATTACCTGCTTGTATGTTAGCACAACTGAGTCCTAAAATCACAATATCCACTGGGGTAGCCAGAACAAGCAAGTGTCGTACATGAGGCTGGAAAATGCCTAAAGGCAGGGGGAAAAAAACATCTTGTTTGCTGTCAACCTGTATTCCCTGTATTCACTAGATACAAATAATTGCTGGTTAGAGGGAAGAGACCAAAAAAACCATCAATGTCTAGAGTTTGAATACAATCAGCAATGCAGCTTCCAATTTATGAAATATAGGACCTTATAAATAACATTTTTCTTATAAATATGCTTCTTCTATATTCAATCCTACGGCAAACTCAACTTTGACGTCAATGTTACATAAGCAGTAGCTTCCAAAGCATTGTGAGGGCTAGAAATCAAGATCTCACAAAAGATTCCTTGAATACGCAAATTTGTTAGGAGCAGAAGAGTATAATGAGGTTAGAAGAAAAAATGGTGCTAAGATTGTTAAATTACACATTACGTTTGTATTGTAATCAGTTTTGTAATGGTTCTACAAATAAAATATGACCACACATATAAATACATGGCCAATTTTACAAAAACAAACAGATATGAAGAATGATTAGGCTCTGCATAATTCTAGTCACTGCCATATATTTCTCACCTGCTTTTGGCTTCACAAGGCCCACCGCAAGAATAGTTTCACTGAGACCATCAAAATAGGCAAGATCTCCCCTGACAACATACAAGAAAAAGCTGCATAAAACTTCAAGTCCATAATGACCAAGTGAGATTCTGTACATCTGAAAATATTAATACCTGCTTCTTAGAATGAAACCAAGTCCAGCAGAATGGAATGACAGAAATCTCACAGTAGAACTATGCAGGCAATGATTTAAGCCCATTGGAACCTCCTACAGCTAAACTTTAAAACTGAAATTCAATTGTATATACTTGTTTGCTGTTTATTTATGCGGTCCAATTTTATCCATAATAAAAATTAAAAACCTTTCTTCCAGTACTGTATCTTTAAAAGTATGAAGTTTTGTGTTGAAATTTAACACACTAAGACACAATGTAAACATATGGAGAGGATCTGTGAGAGGTACAATCTTAACTTTAAGCTAAGAAATACAAGAATTGCTTATAAAGCAATTCATATTAAATTCTTAACATAAAAGCAAATTACAAATATGAAACTATAAATCATAACATTATCATTACAATTGGAAAAGTTTGTGACAGTAGTTTTATTTACGCTTCCTAAAAAAAGTTAGTTATGCTAGCCTCAATCATGATACTTTTAAAGTAATTACAAAATATGGTTGAAGGACCAAGGCCATATTACCGAGCATTATGGAAATGACTGACCACTTTATAGCATTACCATACTTATTAAACTTACTTAGCTGAGTTAAATAATCAGGATAATTTTTTTCTACCTTTTTTGGCATAATCAAAACCTTAGCAGAAGTATGGCAGTAACTTCAGGATACTGCACAAGTCTAAGCAAGCAAATTCATCTGTCTTTCTTCCATCTCTACATAATTTGGCAACAGTATAACTGGCTCCTAAAAGTACTTAAATATTTATAATTCAAGAATTTTAGTACAACTTAACAGAAATCAAGATACCTTATATTGAAAAGCTTATCTTTGTGATATAAATAAATAATCTCTGCTACTACAATCACTTAGATTAGATACTGTATGAATTATACCATCAGGAATATGTCATGTACGTACCCATCTTCATAGTTCCACATGAAAATGTCACTGTCAATGGTCAGCCAAGCTCTGCTGATTTCTGGAAATACTCCCATCATACAATTGCACTGCATATCTGAAGCATTGCAGATGTAAGGACTAAATGCATGTAGGCTAGCAAACACAAAAATTCTTTTTAAATGTTTCACAATTTTAATCTTATTTTAAGTATCTACTTTGAAAGCTACATACACTAAGCACTCCAAGTTCCTCATACAGGAACCAATTCCACAAGCAGCTCTACGCAACTGGACCCTGCTACCTCTTGGAGTCTTTAAGAGGGAATGCAAGAAAGATCAAGGTTGATCTGTGAAAGAACAAGAGAAAGATCTGACAAAAAAATGATTACAAAAGAACAAAAGATCACTTTGAGTATTATCACATACAAAACCCAACACAGGATTTTTCATCAGGATACGTCCAAACTGTTCCACCAGCTCAGGAGGAAGGGGTACTCTACGGACTGGGCTGATCTCTGGAAGATTAGGTATTGACAGCAAACCTGGTCCTTGCAAAGGATAATCCATATCAGACATACCAGAAACTGTAGGACTACCTGTAAATAAAAGCAGCAAAATTAGACTTCCTATAAAAATAATTACAAAAAAAAAAAAAATCCACCCCTACTATCTTTACCTCCTTTTTTCCTTACTCACTTTACCTAGATTTCATGTGAAATCTAAATTAGACTAATACTTATTTCTCATTTTAATTTAGATGAATAATCCAGCTCTTAAGACTATTCAAGAATATGGTCTTGATACTACAAAGCCTTTAAGCATGTAATTACACACAAAATATGCATGGACAAAGGCATCTGTAGGGTCAGGACCAGAAACAATTAATCTAACTCTCATACCAGATGGGGTAAATAGATTTGCAAACACACATGTATGAAAGCACCGTTACACACACACACAAAAAGTGATAAAATGCTTTTTAAAAGCATAAGAATTCACAACCTAAAATAATTCAAATGGTGACATAGGTTATACAGTAAATAAAATTGACAGTGTGGCTGTCAAAGCTGACACTATATTATACTTTAGCCTAATAAACAGCTGTTCAAACTACATTTGATAAAACACAAAGTGAAATAAGTCCCTTCTACTTTCTTTACACTTCAAAGTTTTCCTATGTCTTCTTCTGATAAAAAGAAAAATGCAGGCTGTGTATGAGAATACACTTTTAGAGAGACATTTGCTGTTGCCCAGCAGTAAATTTTTTTTGAGTTTATTTTAAAATTCTCCTATTTTCAGGAAAACAAAACAAAACACAAAAAGACTAAAACATCCCAATCCCCAAATTTGAGTTTTCTTTTTGATAAGCAACAGCAAGACTGAATTCTTTAGTTCTGTTTTAGCAGACTTCACATGAAACTTTTCTTCTATCCTGGAAAAACTACAGGAACATGCTTTATATGAATTAAAAAAAAAAACTTTTGATAATTGCAAAGCATAATTTAATCTTGCTGATTAGCCAACCTACAAACTCATTACAGTAAGTTATGTAGCCCCTGGCCCACTCTCTACCACCTTTTCTCCAAGGCTAGCCTTTTCCAGCATTAATTTCCCACGTGAACAAACCATGTGCACCTTCATCGAAAAAAAGCTCAGCTTTGCTCCCAGTTTGAACCATGTTCCCCCACTGTCATATGTGATAGATGCCCATAACGCCAAAAGGGCAGGTTCTGCACTATAAGAAAACTGCTACTCTTAATACCCGACTGCATCCTGCACCCTGCTAGCTACACACTGATTAGGTCCCCTGCAGCCCTAAAGAGAGGGTTTTTATCCGGCCAGATGGTTCGCGCCATGAAGCAAGAAATGACGCCTCGATGCTTCACAGAGGACAAAACAAACGCTCGAGAAGAGGTATATACATATATATGTGTGTGCGTGCAATCCACAGAAGCCTAAGACAAATTTTTCTTACGCTTCCTAACCGGGGGCTCCAGGAGCCGCCGAGCGGGGCCGGTTAGGCTCCGCCCGGGGC